GCCAAGTTAAGTCCCTCTGGCCACACATCTCATTAACTCACTAATTACTCTCATTAGGTTAATAAATTAGGGTTAAATTTTTTCAGATGTTACATGTGGCAACTCTCATTTTGTGGCCTTGTAACACACCAAATTTTTTTTTAAATAATTTAACTCAACCATAGTTGGGTTACAGCCACCCAACATATTTTTTTATATCAATAATTTCAATATAAAATATTTTATAATTGGCTTCAACTCACACAATATAACATTTTAGATAAATTTTTACCTCCTACATGCCACTAGGCTAAATCACATTTGTCCATCTTATACTCCCAACAAGTAAAATAAACAATTTAGTCAATTTTCAACACAAGCCAGTTATTTGGCCTCATAATCATGCCATTTTAACTAATCCAAAGTAAATCAAATATTAAAATTACAGTCATCCAAAATATACCAAAAATAGAAATAGTTTGAAAGGCATGATTACATTTATATATTCATATAATTGTCAATAAACAAACAACCCTAATATTGGCAATATAACACATTATAAATCATAAATCAAATACCTAAAAGAGACAGTGGATCTATGCCACTAAGCCTTTGGGACTCCTCCACGTGTCACTCGTGGCTCTTCTCCTAAAAATTGTTAACCGCATAATGAGACTTAAAAGTCCCAGTAACAAAGACAATTTATGATAGTGTGTACAAACAGTTAAGTGTTTGCTTACTAAGTGGGAATCAAAAATAATATAATTCCAACAAAATATAAGAAATATTACAATACACACAAACAACCATCCTTATATCCCTTCATTAACCTCGAGCCGTAGCCTCACTCGGTGTTAAATTACCCAGCCAAAGGTAGATTAGCCCGAGCCCTTACAAGCCACCTATTGAGCTCCAATAGGGGCGTACACGTGGCACATAAATACAACAACAATAGCAAGTCTCCCAACACCTCTCACAATAATCAAACAAATTCATAATAATATTGCACAATTATAAATATTACAAAATTCATAATTTTCTCAATAATCACCCAATTAACATGAAGTAACACTAATCACAAATTAAAAGCATGGTTACCTTGTGGCTTTTTCAATAAATTATTCCTTAAAATTTTTCTCTCACCACAATCTTCACCAGTAATACAATCTACAAATAACATATTATTTATAAATATTAGTTTCAATTTTTGAAACTAATAAAATAATTCTAATAATAAAATTAAAAATATAACATAATTCCTAATCTTAATCTTAATACAAATCTATAGTTAATACTATTAAGTAAAATTTTTAACTCCTCTTTTAATTATCAATAAACATTAATAATCTAAAAATTAAATTTTAAACTAATTTCTATTATCAATTTTTTTTATCTTATAAATTCGCACCTAAAATACCCAAAAATTAAAAATTGAGTCTCTAGCTTAGAATCATAATCCTATAGCCATAATAATTCATTTCCCATCCCAAATAATCATCTAAACCTTAATAAATCAACATATATTTTCAGATCTAGTTTAGAATTTGATCCATAAGCCACAAATTCAAAGATCATCAATAAATTTATACTCTAGAACATTTATTATACTACTAACAACCTCAAAAACCATATTTATTCAACATAAATTCATCCCTCTTCCAGATCTTAAATTTTTTACCACTACAAACTCAGAAACCAAAGAAGAAGGATGACTAAAAAATTTTTTTAGAACACTTACTTAGTCTTGAAAAGCTTAAAATCACATCCTAAATATCCTATTAAAAACTCTTACCTTAAAAACTTAGATCTCCGCACCGACAACTCACGCTCACTCTGCCTCAGCTCGCGCACAAAGGAATGAATGAAGAGACGAAGGAACATGTGAGTTTTTATAAAAATTCAGTGGGTCTCACATTTTTTTTATTATTTCTTCTTTCCTCTCTCTCCCTTTTTTATTATTATAATATATACGTAATGATTGCACCGAAAGCCGATTGCGTTTTCTTCTTTCCTTCCTTCCTTCCTCTTTCTCATACCTTTTCTCTTTCTTTCTTTTTATAATAATAATAATAATTTAATAATATTTATTTATGTATTTTAATTAATTAATATTTTTTTAATAATTTTTTTAATTTAAAATTATATCCTAAATTAGATTTAATAATCATTTTCTACTAATTTGCTTACCTCTAAATATTTTTTAAAATTTCTATTAACCAAAAATTAACTATTAAAATTTAAATTGAGATGTTACAAGCCTTTTGTGCCATAGCACACCACGCATGCATCACGACATGTAGTATAAAGGCTTTTTCAACTTTTTTTTTTCACTTTTTGGTCACCAAGTGACTCAAATTCACTTTGGACCTAAATTATACATGAAATTTCAACTAAAAACACTTATTATTCTCCTTTAACCACATACGCTTACTTAATTATTCTAATTAAGCTTAGTAAATCATAGAATTAAAAATTGAGATATTACATTAAACACCTTACAATAAATATAAAGTCATTATTAATAGGGGCACTTTTGAAAAAAAGGCAATTATTATGTCTCGAAAGACTAAAAATACCTTATTTTTTTTAACATTCAACTCCTCGAAAAATGCCTTATATTTTTTAATGGAGTGAGTATGAATTATATTTGCAAAACCCCCATATTTTAATATATCCTTTACTATAGAAGGATAACTTTTTCCATACATCATGCTCAAACTTAATATCTTAAATCAAACAAGTGTCACATTATGTATGAACAAAGTATCATTAGATGTACTGTAATGCAAAATTAATCAGCAATCTTTATAATTTTTTAAAGTAAGCATCATACCATCAGGCCACTAGAAAAAAAAATTATTATGTGTGTTTTTACATGCATATATTTCAGTCAACATTCAACATAAGACAAATTTAATTAATTTTGTATTTATTAAAAAAGTAATAGTTATGTTATCCAAATATTATGTAACTTTTAATTTCATCATTTGTTCCAATTAACAATCATAAAAAATTGCTCCTATAAATTCAAACAATAATAAATAAACAATGGGTAAAATTTTAAAAATTAATTACTTTATCTTTATCTTATGTCAAGGACAAAAAAAAATAAAACTTGCTCTATACCAAGGAAAAAAGGAGTATATTTATAATAGTTTATCATGCATAAAATTTCTTCAAGCACTGCATAAAAATTGAAAAAATGAGCTTTTTTTTAGGGTGATTGAAAAATGAGTCTTTTGTTTGTTTACAAAGGTATGCAGTTATGAATTATATGTCTTACAAGATGCCTTGCATCATTGTCGCTAAGATCAAAAGCCTTGTTTGAAGGGAAGATTGACGTGGCTGATAAGGTTGTAAGAGAAGCTCCTCCTAATCCTATGTCTCTAGATAGACCTTTTTCATTATAACTCCATGAGTGAGTAATTAATAGGGGTTGAGTTTAATGAAAAGGGTCAGTCTCTTATAACATAACAAATTGGTGTTTAAATTTTCATTAGAAGGGGTGTCTTCGTTTAGTATTCAATTGTATTGAGACATAATTGTTTTCAAAGGAAGCATATTTGTGAGAGAGAGAAAAAATCACAAGTGAATTCTATATATTCGAGGTAAAGAAAGACTAAATTCTATATAGCGTTAAAGTGCAAATTTACCCTAAACTCTTTTAGGAGGTACAATTGATATCCTAAAGTCTTAAAAAGTGCAATGTCCCCCTTGTATTTTCAAAACTAGAGCAATGTCACCCAATTTTAACATATTAAAATTGTTGACCATTGGTTGACTTTATCATGATTACCTAGCATGCCACATAGAGTCTGCCTTATTTGAACAACATCTGTATATGCTTTCTTTTCCCTCAGCTTCATTTCAGCTTTGTTATCCCAGTAAAGGATCCTCCATGAAAACAATGTAAAGCTTTTTTGTCCTTCTAGACACATGACATTAGTTGCTTTTCTTTGAGAAGGATAGCCAACTTGAATAACTACTTAGACTCGAAATCTAACATTTGATCCTCATCTTATGCCTCAATATCAGTCATAAAAGCAAATGTTTTTTTATTACTGGAAACCTATTTTTACTGAAATCAAACCAGTTGAGGGAGGGAATAGAGGTTTTCCAACTTGAAAATTAATTCTTGTTTTATTATTTGGTTTTTTTATTATCTGGTTTTTCAAAGATTGATTTTTTTTGAAACCCATCTCTACTGAAATCATATAGATTGAAGAAGAAGAAGAAGAATAGTAGAAAGCATGCCTCGGCTTTTAAGACCCATTTCTAAAAGATGGATCTTTTTTGAAACTCATATTTGAAACCAAATCTTCACTAAAATCAAATAGGTTAAAGCAGGAAATGCAGGTTATGGATCTCAAAGAGCTAGGAATCGACTATCGAAGTCTGTGCTCTACTATGATTGAACACTCATCCTTCTCAACCTCTTAAACTCACAATCTCCTTCACCGTCAGCCACGCTCGTCCTCCTCTATCATCGACCCTGAATCTCCCCTTCTCAACTCACTCACTTCACCACCGAGCCCTTCTACTCCGTTGAATCTTCTACTCAAGTCCATTACATTGATGGCACACATTAAAAGAAAAGGTGACCTGCATCATGGGAAAAAGAAAGCATGTGTGAATTTTTTTCAAATGGGGCAGACAACACGTGGCATGCCATATAATCATAATAAAGTCAACTAACAATTAACAATTTGAATATGTTACAATTGGATGACATTGCTCTGACTTTGAGAGTATAGGGAAACATTATATTTTTTAAAACTTTAATATATCAATTGTGCCTCTTAAAAGATTTCAAAAATAAATTTATACTTTAACTCTTTTATACATTACCCGAGAAAAATAAATTCTATATGAGGATGCGGGGGAGCCTTGTGACCCAGACAAAGCCCAAGGTCCAGCCATCAACGATAACTCTTCAAGTATTGGGCTTGTGTCCAGGCAACTAGACTCGATGGGAACAGGTCACGTGTAACACGCGCTGCGAGGTGGCGTTGGAGGAGAGGAGACCACCCAATTGGTGGAGGAATTTGGTGTAGGGCGAGAAGCCGCGCACCGAGCTACGTTCAAGGCTTCAAGCTAGTGAGAAGAGAAAGAGAGGGGAAGGGGGATTGGATTAGAATTGAATTTGCACGAGGGATTACATCAGAAGTTTCCGAATTTGTAACTTCTCGTTATTGCTCACACTCTGAATTCAATCACGTCATCATCTCGCATATCCTTTTTTTTTTTTGGGTATCGCTAACCCTTGTCTTTGTTTTGACATCGCCGACGTCGCCGTCGCCGTCGCCGTTACCGTCACTGTCACCGCCGTCATCTTTAGCCTCCCTGTCACTGCTGGCTCGTCCATCGTCAACCCGAGTTTAGAGGGTTTTGATTGAATCCCTTGCAAATGGGCGAACAAACCCAAGGTCAAGGACAGACCCAAACCCGAACCCAGAGTCAGCCTCAGTCTAGCCAGGATTCTACCCCCACGTCCATTACCACCGCCAATTCAACTACCACAACAACTGCCACCGTCGCCACCGCTACCATTGCACAGGCTACGCTAACAGAGTCCGAACTAAGTAATGCCCCTTCGCAAACCTATTCTCCGCCTTCCAAAATCCCCTTACGCCCCCGAAAGATCCGAAAGCTTTCTCCTGACCCAAGTAACTCTCAAATCGTCCCCGTGGATAACCCAAAACCTATCTCTTCCACCACCTCCTCCGCTAAGACGACGGGCGGCCGGAACAACAAGAATGTTCAACAACGAACCCAAATGGTTCCCAGAATCGTAGCTAGGTCACTATCTTTCGAAGGCGAGGTCGAGATTGCACTGCGCTACCTCCGAAACGCCGATCCACTTCTTGCTCCTTTAATTGACATTCACCCGCCTCCTACCTTTGACAATTTCCACACTCCATTCTTGGCTCTAACGCGTAGCATTTTGTATCAGCAACTCGCTTATAAGGCTGGCACGTCAATCTATACCCGCTTCATCGCTCTCTGTGGGAGCGAGGCCGGTGTTCTTCCAGAAACAGTTCTTGCCCTAACTCCTCAACAGCTTCGCCAGATTGGGGTTTCGGGCCGGAAAGCTAGCTATCTTCATGATTTGGCCAGGAAATACCAGAATGGGATATTATCAGATTCGGCCATTGTAAATATGGATGATAAATCGCTTTTCACAATGCTCACGATGGTTAATGGGATTGGATCTTGGTCTGTTCATATGTTCATGATTTTTTCTCTCCATAGACCTGATGTTCTTCCAATTAATGATCTCGGTGTCCGCAAAGGGGTTCAGCTTCTTTACAATCTTGAGGAGCTGCCGCGACCTTCTCAGATGGACCAATTATGCGATAAATGGAGGCCTTACAGGTCAGTTGCTTCTTGGTACATGTGGAGATTTGTCGAAGCAAAAGGAACTCCTTCAAGTGCCGTGGCTGTGGCTACCGGTGCCAGCTTGCACCATCACCAGCAGGAGCAGCAACAACCGCAGCACCCATCACAGCCGCAGCTTCTGGATCCCATAAATAGCATGTTTAATCTTGGGTAAGACTATATATCATAGCATGCCGAATATTGGTTCTATGCTCATTCTTTTATGCATCTTTTGGTATTGGGACTGAAGCATGAACCGGGTCTGTTTAGTGCACAGAATGGAATGGCAAAAAATGAGGAGAATGAAAAAAAGTGATTTTGGGGATGAGAAATATCTTTTGTGGATTTAAACTGAAAAAGTAATAAAAGGATACGTTATTATTAAGTAATGATGCCAGAAATATTATAGAGATTGCCTATATTGCTTTTCGTGCTATCTGTGCCTTTGGGGATATACTAAGCGAGGCCAACATGGTTGCAAATAGATTTTTATGCATTTTGAATTCAGAGAATAGGTCTGGAACCCTCTTTTTTACTTCCCAGTGGGCGAGGTTTGTAACTTGTTTTGGACTATCAGTTGTTCTATAAGTTATAACCTTCCAGAGACGGTCATTTAATATAACGTTCCAAGTTGTCAACTTTTCATCCTTTTCGTGGAGGTATATCTCCAACATCTACACTTTCAAACCTGCCATCTCAGCCACGAAAATCTCTGCTCCACCAGTTACTGGAAGAAATGTAGAATGGACTATCTCTTTATTCCTGTTCTTCTGGGGATCGATATAATTAGAGAATTCAAATGGTTTTTCAATACTACCCTTAAAACAGAAATTGGCGTTTTAGTGGCCATAAGGATCATTCTGAATTTATCAATTTGACAGTATCATATCCTCCCCCTATGATGAATGAGAATAGGAGTCTCTTCATGCAATGCTTTGAGAAATGTCTTGTCAAGCTGACGGACTTCAACCACCAACTTCCGAGAGACTCTAATCAAATGTGACCTTGTCTTTCTTGGAAGTTCTTTCTCTGATACTTTTGTTTCTAATCTTAGAAATGGCCGTTTTCCTTTAAACAAATTCAGTGAATTGCCATCATTCTGTAAACCTCAATTGTTCAATTTTAAAAGCTGTTCAGATTCAGTTTTCATTCATAAGAAGAGTTGTGCCCAAATAAATAAAAACTAGATGGCTTTTCCTGTGCTAGTCTAGTCTGTCTTTATCTTCATTGCTGAAACTGCTCTTTAACCCTCATTTATTCTTCCCTAATCCTCCTCACCCCCTTTCATAAATGATAAAGAACCTCATGTTTGGTTCCATGAACTTCTGAAGTCCTGTAACTTAAGAACCATTACATTTTCTGCTTCAGCTACTGTTTCCTAACATATGTTTTTTTTTATATCACATCTCAATGCTTCCTGACGAGGAATTCTGTTTACCATTCATTAGTTCTACATGTTAAAATATTACTTTTGTCTTTTGGGTAGGTGGGCCTTCGACTGTTGGTCAATTTTCAATTTACCAGAAAAGAATCTAATCTATAGAGCTCTCAGAGCTCCTCATGCAGGCATTGTGACGTGGCATTTGTATTAGATTCTTGCATGAGTACTTTTTATTAGCAGAATATTTATGTTTTTTCAGTTCAGGATGCTAGTTGCTTTTAGTTGGTATCTTTAGTTGTTAGTTATCGATTGAAAGGGATAATTAATTAAGTACTGGCCGGAGGGGAATTAGCTGTTGCTATTCCAACCTACTGCTCTAGCCATAAGACGGTGTCATGGCGGTCAGTGAGCCTCTGATGAAGAATGAATAAACTTGGCTGGTAGGCATACCACAGTTGGACATCCACTGTAGCAAGCATTCTGAATAAATTATAATGTTTTTGATGTGTCCTTCGCCTGTAAAAAAGGAAAAAAATAAATTGACTTGAGTGCCGCTTTTCAGCTTCTAGTAATCGCATCTTTCTTCTAAAATGAATAAAATGGAAGAGATGCTTGATTCAGAATTGAATGTTGGTCAAACCCTCATGTTTTGTTTTGGACAACTTGGCCATAATTCTAGTACTCCAAATGCACTTCAATTCCTGGTTTTCATACACATATATGTTTGAAACGTTACTTCTTTTTAAAGTATGGATACTTAATTACTCGTGCTAGTGTAAATCCCTAATTACTTGTTTTTTTTTTTCCTATGCCATGTTCCTCTTTTTTTAATCTTCTTGGTCTTGCTTTATGGCTCTGTTAGTGTCAAAATTATTTTCCCATGTATATTTTGGATCTAATTTCACCCGGTTTTGTTACCGCAAGGACAGGACTGATTGGAGTGGAGTTTCTTCCTCAGATGTTCGACGCTTTATTATTATACATGTTTGGTGTCTTTTCAGTTGTCTATTTCCTATCACGGTTGATTTCGTATGTTTATATATGTAACTTGCCAACACATAGCGTGCTCATGCATGGCTCTCATCTTCGGTGTTATGTTATTTACAGGGCTGCCTGTGCTTGGGGACAGTGATTGCCGGTTGAAATGAGAAGTTTGTCATAAGATTTCATCAGCCGTCTTTGGTCATACCAAAAGTGCAAAAGCCAAGCCATGGAGTGTGTGTACTTAATAGAGGATCTTGGTGGTATAAGTTGGATAGTCTGGGCATTGAAGCATTTGTGTATTTTCGGTAAATCTGGTGCAAGATTCAATAAAAAGACAAACCTTAGGTTAGGTCTATTCTGTTGTCGAAATTGTAGGACGCCTGTTTTAAGTTGTGAAGTCGTCTTTCATAAAGACAGGTCTGATTAGAGTGCAGTGCGTCTGCCCCATCGTGATGTGGTTTGGACCAGGTAATTCTTCAGGCCTTGTACGTGGTCCTGCTTGTGCTAGTGGATGCCCATTTTCTGCCTATGGTTTCATTAGATTATTCGTTTATCGCCTTTCACATGCTTCCTCTCTTATTGTGACCGACAGTTGATGTCATATGATTACAGTAGAATCCTAAAAAATAAAAAATAAAAACAAAAAAATTAAATAATGCAACCGGCGACGATGTTCGATAGTTTATGTATACACGTAACACAATGAAAAGCTTTTTTTTATTTTTTTGTTGAAGGTGAAGATGTTAACCTATTCGAGTTTTAAATGTGATTTGCTGTAATTTCAATGATATATTTTTGATTGATCATTGATGATGATGATAACAACATGGCTTGCGTATGATCTTGTCTTGGTTGAAAAGGTTTACCAATGAAATTTAAACTCAGATGAATTAATTAGATAACTGAAATTATTCTAATATAAAAGTAGTTTTAAAACATTTGGCAAAAGTTGATGTGTGTAGTATGTGTTTTCATCATTCAATTATGTAGTTGAGAGTTTGGATTTCAGTTCTTGTGTATCTATTGCTATTATATTTTACATTGATAGGTTGTCTTGTATCATCTCAAAATTTTCTTTGTAGATAAACCTTTTAATACGATGTGATCTTAGGAGCCACTGGAAAGAAGAAAATGAAGCTCCGGTGGAGTCAATTAACAAAATAATTTTGTTACAAGCAATTGACTTGGTGATTGTCCAGTTGAGGACAACTGCAAGTTTATTTACTCTCCTTGGCAATGGAAAGAGGGGGGGAAAAAAGTTCAAAATCCGTGTCAATCACAGTCACTTAATGCCGTTGTCTGTTTGACACGAAAACCCATGAATATGCTTTATGGAAAGAGACTGGATACATACGAAACAAATCGCATTTCTAATTTCTTGCAATAAGCGTCCACTTTGTTTAAACCAAAAAAAAAAAAAAAAAAATCCTTTCTCGTGTCGTATGTAGCTGTTCAGCCATTCATAAAGCTCTCAAAAGCCTGCGGGAATTGGACTCCTAATAAATAAAAAAACTTCGAAAAAAATTATTTAAACTTCGAAGCATGTCTGCTTGGGCAGAATTTTTGAGGACGTAACAAAAAATAAGTGATATTGCAATAATTCATTTTTTACCCATTCATTTATTAAAAAAAAAAGAAAGAACAATACAAAAAGAAATATTAAAATTGGAATTCAAATGAAGGAATATTTTCCTAGCAGTTCATCAAAAGCCAGAGGTAACAAAAGAGGGCGACTAGCTAACCACGGAGACAGGTTGGTTATATTAAATAGAAATTTAGAAATGACTTTGGCAGACGGCAAAATGGATTGCAATCTCAGCACATAGCACATACAACAGCAGCTATGAGACGAAATTGTGACTTGTGAGAGCAGCTCGAGGACCACCCACTGGGATATTCTCGCGGAATATCTCTTCGTTCCTTTAAGGTTTTTCTTAAATATATATTTATTCAGAACTTATCCACCTGGATGATGTAGCATGCAGGGCATGCAACCCGGAATCAAAATCCAAAATCACACTATAAAATGACACAGTCAAGCCTCCCCTGTCTAGCCATTCCCAAGCAGAGCACACTCCAAAAATGCACCACGAGAATTATGATCCTTGCTTCCCCGACCAACCCGTGGTCCACCAATACCTCCCTGTCTGGGCCAACCTGCCGTCCTTCCGCTCCAAGCCGGCCTTCATTTGGTCCGATGGAATCTCCACCCCCACCACTCTCCTCACCTATTCTCAACTTCATGCCTCAGCGAATCTCATTTCCTCTAAGCTCCTCATTCCTCTACAGAGACGCGACACTGTCATCATCCTGTGCCCTCCGGGACTCCAATTAGTGAAGGTCGTCTTTGCGTGTCAAAGGGCTGGCCTTCTTAGCGTTCCCATCACCCCCCCTCATCCTTCTTTTGCTCGTCACAATTATCACCATCTTATCAGGGTCCTTTCCCACACAAAACCCAAAGCTGCCATTGCTCTGCCTGACTACATCTCCAGTGTTGAGAGCTACGTGTCTTCTTCTTCCCCCCACAAGGATGAGAACCTGGCTCGCATGTTACAAAAAATACGTTGGATCTCTGTACACGACGATGACGACACCAAAGATGCTAATGGCAAGATTTTAAACAACCGCGCTGATTCTACGGCATATGATGGTTGTGGGGCGAATGAGGTGTATTTGGTTCAGTACACTTCGGGTGCCACCGGGATTCCGAAACCCGTGCTTATGACTGCTGGCTCGGCTGCTCACAACGTTAGGACGGCGAGGGCTGCCTATGATCTTCATCCGAACAGCATCATCGTTTCGTGGTTGCCTCAATACCATGATTGTGGTCTCATGTTTCTGTTATTGACCGTCGTATCCGGTGCCACATGCGTCCTCACCTCCCCAACCGCTTTCGTCAACCGTCCAAGACTCTGGCTTGAATTGATGTCGGAGTTCAAGGCCACGTGCACTCCCGTTCCGACATTCGCGCTGCCCCTCGTCATCAAGCGAGGTGGGCCACAGCAGGGAACCATTCCCATAAATCTTTCCCACTTAAGGAACCTTATACTCATCAACGAGTCAATCTACAGAGATTTAGTTGAAGAATTTGCCCATGTTTTTATTCCATTTGGATTGAACCCATCCTCCATCTCTCCTTCCTACGGGTTAGCGGAGAATGGTACTTTTGTTTCCACTGCTTGGAGGGTCAATGATAGGTACTCTAGCTTTCCAGGGCTTCCGACTCACAGGAAGCTTCTGCCAGTCGCAAGGCTCTCTGATAATCCATCTCAAGAGGACATGGACATTGTGGTTGTAAACGAGGAAAGCGGTGAACCGGTCGAGGACGGGATCGAAGGAGAAATATGGGTGTCATCACCAAGCAATGCATCTGGCTACCTCGGACATCCTTCCTTAACAAGAGAGGTATTTCACGCGAGACCGGGAAACACAGTTAGAAGGTGTTTTGTTCGAACAGGAGACACGGGCGTTGTTAAAGGGGAGCTGAGGTTTCTGTTCGTGACCGGTCGGTGCCATGACGTTATTGAGGTCGAAGGTGGTCGGAGGATCCATCCTCACTACATCGAGACAGCGGCATACAAGGCGTGTCGGGAGTATCTGAGAGGAGGTTGTATTGCAGCATTTCAGATGTGGAAGACGATAGCAGTGGTGGCAGAGATGCAGAGGATTGAAAAGGACAGTGGGGTATTGAGGAGAATTTGTGAAGAGATGAGAGAAGGTGTGGCGAAAGAAGAGATGGTTGAGGTGGGATTGGTGGCTCTGGTGAAGAGTGAGAGTGTTCCAAAAACAACATCAGGGAAGGTAAGGAGATGGGCGGCAAAGGAGAGGTTCATGGCGGGCAAAATGACAGTTATGGTGGACGTTGCATTCGGAAATGCAACCCATGGAGGTGCCCGAGAGATAAAACCACCAACTCCTGTGTCATTCATCTCTCTTCTTTGACCTTGAGGATGTGGATTGCGATAATTTTTGCTTTGTTTTTGCTTTGTTTTGTTTTCCCCCTTTTTTTTTTACTAATAAATAATCAGGTAGGATAGGATGTGGACTGCGATAATTTTTCGTATTGCTGTTTGTATGCTGGATTATGACTGGGGATAACCAGCTTCTGATTTAAATAAACATTTAGATCAGCACATCTTCTACGATGTAATCGAGTCTGGAATAAGTTTGCTAGGTTTCGACCATCATGACATTATCAATGCTATATGGCTATATTCCTAATTAATGTAAATGATTTTCCTAACTCTTGTATTTAAGTAAGAGAATGTTTTGATAAGAAGAAAAAGACCAAACAAACAATTTTTTTAATCTCTATGAATTAATTTGACAACTTATTAGGGTGTATTTGGGTGCCTCACGTTTCACATTCCAAGTGTGGTTTTTAATTTTGGGATGTGAAATGTTGTTTAGAGTATTTTTTTTAAATGAAATGTGATTTGTAAAAAGACTTTTAAATGAGTCTGAAATTGAAAAAATGGAAAGCTTCTTCTGGTAACTTTTGAAATGCGAATCAGGCATGTGAGCATAAAATGATTGATTGGGACCTAATATTGTAAAAGACTATGATACCCTCATATTTCTCCTTCTTCACGTGCAACCGAGGTTGGCCTCTCTCTCATTCTCCTGCTTCTCACTCGTCGTCTGTCACTCCTCCGTCGCTCCGCGGTCTCTCCTCCGTCTCTCCTTCACCAGCTAGTCACAGATCCCGAGCTCCTCATCTCTTCCTTCCTCGAGCTCCTCGTCTCTTCCTTCGTTGTCGATCGCTGCCATTCCTCTGCCTCATTTCTTCATTTCCACCTTCAATCGTTCACGGATTGAGCTCGTTTTGGGACTTGTTTCAAAGCTCGTTTACTTCTTCATCACCTTAGATTTCATATTAGGACACTAAGCAACAAATAAATTTATCCCTGGAAACAGAGGCTTGTTTCAAAGTTTGTGACGGCTCAGCCAGGGATTGACACTCTGAGCAGATGGAGTGAGAACGAAACCACATATCAATATAGTGAGACTGAAAGCTGTGGCTGCAATTTGGGAGGGTGCGAACTTCATCTCCTTCTTCCAACTCCGACAAGCAGATGGCACAATCATTGAGTGGAAGATGAATGGTGGACGAGTAGGTGAATGTGGGAAGGAACTTGAAAAGAGAAGGATCCAGACGACCCTTGCTCTGGGCGGTGGCTAAGATGGTCGAGGAAATGTGAAGGGGGAGAAGCTGTTGGCCGCTGCCATGATGACGACTGCGCCGACGAAAGGTGGAGTAAGCTTGGTGAAGGTAGATGAGGACGATTAGCATCAAGAAGAGAAAGCGACAGCCAAAGGCAAGCATTTTCATGCCATAGTCAACATCCTCTGCATGATCGGTGTCTAGTTCCATTTGTCAGGCAAAACACAGCTAGTGAAACACCCGGATAGGACTGTGTTATCTTGGGAGAAGATATGGATTATTATAGGAATTGGGAAGGCTTGTTTTATCGAAGGAAACAAATCAAGTATTAATGAATGTTTAACTATTAATTATTAAATTTAATATTAAATCTAACATTTTAAATTTTATATTATTTTAAATTTATTTAAATTTTTAAAATATTTTTAATATATTATATTTGTATAATAAAAATTATAAATTATCATAAATTAATGTCCTTTTTAATCATTGCATATTAAAAAATACATTTTAAAAGTATAAATTTTTATTAATCCAAACAACTTTCAGTTTGTCAAATTAATTTTTTAAAAAATGTATCTAAATATAAATTTTATTATAATAATTAATTTTTATCAAACTGACTTTTATCAAATAAACTTTTATCAAACTGACTTTAAATAAATTAAAAATTAAACACACACTTAGTATTTATAAGCAACGAATCATATGTTTTGAGAGAAAATTGTTCATGAGGACCAAATAACAAACATATTTATCATTAAGGACCCCATATGTACAAATGAAAAGGATTGAATGAGGCCGTCCATAAAAGAAAATATACTATAACAAGTAATTTTGCATTATTTATAGGGGGCCTCTTAAATTATGCCATAACCTCTTTTTTTTTCCTGCCAAAAATTATGCTACAACCTTAACACACGTAAACTGAAGCCAGGGGGTTTCAAGAAGACCCACGCACTCGATCACGTTAAAAGCAATATAAGGTCTGTTTGAATTTCAATTGAGTATAATTAATTATAAAAATAATTAATTAAATTATTGATTTTAATTATAATTGATTATGATTACAATTTTATTAAGAAAAAAATAGAAGAAAAAATAATTTGGATTTATTTTTATTAAATTTTGTGCCTTTCTTATAATTTTTTTGGAGCTTTTCTTGTAATTTTCTCACATATGTCTTGTAAAATTCAAATGCAGAAGCTGATTCTCATCTCATGGCTTATGGAAAAAATCAATTTTTCCTCTAAAATCGATTACCCAATTCAGCGACTGTTTGGGTAGTTTTTTAAATAATCGATTTTTGGCCCCAAAAATTGTTTAATGAGGCAGTCCAGACAGGCACAGAAATTATGGTTCATGTTCACTGCTCATTGCGGTAATGACTAATGACATCATATACTCATTGATCACTATGATGAGGTATAGGTCGTTTAGGTTTAAAATTTTTGAATGATAAATTTATTTATTAAAAAGAGACTGTTATACAATTAGAAGATAAAAATTAAATGAAATCACATCTCAACTATTCAAAATTAATTAATCTGTACTACTGTGTAAATTGATGATGAGCAACTAGTGTGGTTCTAAAAATTGACATATTCCAAAAGCCAAATAAACAAGACATGAGCCTCCTTGTTTGCATGTGGGTGGCTGTAACATGAGCTGTGCAAACCAATTCGCCAAAAAAAGGAAGTAAATGAAATAAAGTACTATAGTTCTATGTCAACATTGGTATATGAATCGTACCCAATCATCAGCAATACACATGGGGCGGAGGGGTGTTGTCAACCCAATGCAATTCTCTGTCCATCACCCCACTCTCCACATATCAATATATACACATCTCGTTTGAGTCAGCGTGTGTTGATTGCTCGTGTCTATATGCACACACACCCTATGCTGCACCAGGGCTTGACGCTCCCGGAGCTTGTGCTGATGATGTGGTTGTGCCAGGTGCTGCAGCCTCCACGGGTGCCTCTACCGTGGACGTGACCGCCCCTGGCGCTTCAGCCTCTAACTTGGGTGCAGTTGCTTCGGTTGATTGTGCCTCCGGTGTCGTAGCGCCGGGTGCGTATGCCTCGGGTGTGGCGGCGCCAGGTGCGTAGGCCTCGGGGGTAGGTGCTTCTGGTACGTATGCCTCCGGTGCGTCAGCCTCTGGTGCCTGAGCCTGGGGTGTTGCTGCGGCCAGGGCCGGTGCTTGAGGTTGGGGTGCATATGTAGGGGAATATGTCGGTGATGCTTCCGCCGGAGATTCTGCGTCTGCAGGTGAAGATTCATCCACACCTATGTCTGCAAAGTCTGCTGCTTCTGGTTCGTCGGAAGGAGATCCGTCAGCTGACCCCGTGGGTGCGTTTTCATCAGTGTATCCCATATTGCTAAATTGCACGACATTAATTATGCACACAGTTAAATCCCTTCTTGTTTTTGTTAGCAGGAAGAAAAAGCAAAAACAGAGAGAGAATGGACATCAAACCCCTGAAATTGAAACTTACTTGGCGTTGCCTTTAATCCAGTCAGCCCAGACGGATGATTCGGAATCATCAGCGCCTCCACGCAGAGCAGCCTGAGCATCATCTATGGATTGCTGAGAGATACCCTGCGATGCCGCCTGGTCTGCCAGACTCTTCCAAGGATCATCCTGACCCGCTGCCCAGCGCCATGGCAGAGCCACCAGTAATGATATTACTAACACCAATGATGATATTCTTGCCATTTCCTTAATTTCCAGTATTGAACGAATGGTTGCAATTATGCAACGCTGAATAGTCTAGCATTCGCCGTATTTATAGCCCTACTAGATTACTGGGTTGCCCAAGTTGACGGCTAATCATGTGGGACTCGTCCCCTAACCGCATCTCGCGTCTCTCTTTGTTATCTTTAGCACACTTCAGTTGTTCACCGTAGATCAGTAGCTAACCCCTTATCTTACAGCATTTTTATTGGAAAACCTCCTTTTCCGACTTTACTCATAATAGCTTTTGTCAAGTGGTGGCCTGGCTTTCCCCTTATTTCTTATTGACTCATATTTAGTTACATGCATGCAACATTCATTCGTTATTCTTCTCTCTAATATCTCCAATCTCTCAAACATTGAATATGATAATTTCATTTCTTCTCCCCCCTCCTCTCTCTCTCTCTCTTACCCCTTAGTGACTAATCCTAAAGTATTCACACATTTTATTTACTCTTCCACGATGCAAAGTATTTGGATTGCTCCCTAGATTTACGCAAGGAGAGAAGATACTTGTGTAAAAGAGAGGAAAACGAAAGGATGAAAGTGTTAGACAAAGTATTAAGCTATATTTCGTCATATTTCTTACAACGAGTAAAAGGGGAACATGATTACATATTGCACATAGACACAAGATTACAAGAAAGACACCAAATGAAACTATACATCGAGGCAGCTGGGCGGCATTACTCCAGTGCATAATGCCTTTTATAAATGTCTCGTACAATAGCACCATCCAGTAACTTGGTAGAGCGCAAGGAACTTGCTTCAACAAAGATTTAGATTCCTCATCATCCCGTTGAAGAAAACATACTTATATTAACCAAGTAAATGGTCGATTCAAATCAAAGATGATATGGGCTCATGATTAATAAAAAACGAGGGGAGCGTCATCGAATATCCGAACCCTGCTTCAAATAGGAAATTTAAATAGATCCTAGAATCACATATGATTTGAAGAAGGAGATGTAGGAATTTTGTGCATGATCATATATACATGCCAGATCGGGTTTTGTCGTAACGTATGCATTAAGGTGGTCGATATCTGGACTAAAAGGACCATGTCGATGTGCCTGAGCCTGACTACCCCGTGATCTAAAATTTGAAGGATTAGATTAAAGTGGATCTTCTTTCTCTCTACCAGGTCATTAATTTAATGTTTTCACGATTTGTGTAAAATCTAGTTTTGACTGCATGCATATGATTGATTCCCATGCAAAAATCCAATTACTTGGAAACATTTGTGACCAATAACTAAAGCTCCATCTCCTTCAACATAAACAGAGCGTTCTACGTTCAAATGTTTGGAAGGACTATTCCAAAAGCAATGAATTATGGAGATGATGAGGCAATAAAAGCAGCAGATATGAAGTTAAAGGCACGCCGGTCTGATACCAACAATAGAAAAGGTAAGACAGAGACATTGAAATAATGGGATGAACAGATCATGCCTGGAGTCTCGAGTAGTTAGCCTGGAGTGAATGTATCTGGGCAAAGGGACTCAATCATGCTTAATTCGATTGACGTCCTCCATAAGGATCTCATAGTTCCTCTTCACTTCTTGTGTCGACTTTTCGGCCACCATCTTTGCCACGTGCCGCCACCTATCTGGGTCTTCCGGCCCATACACTGCAAGTGCATCCTCAAATCTTGCGTTCTCGTCCCTCGTCCAAGCCATTGATCCCAAACATGAGAACGTGCTTAGTTGTGGCCACACCCATTCTTCATCCTCAAATGAGGGAGGATCCAAATTACTGTTCTGTGCAAGTTGGGGAATACTAGAATAAGATTTGATTCCCACGATGCGAGGGCTCCCAAAGACAGAGGGTCAATTACTTGGCTTTTCATTGCCCACTGGATCACTCATTCATTAGCCAGTAGAATTTCTTCGGAGTTTTTCTAGCGTGGTGGGGGATTAGATCCTTAATCCTCCTTGATATGGATTCCCTGGCTAACAATATAAACCTCCACCCCTAAAGCAAGGCTAAGATATTATGTGTCGTCTCCTTTTCATTTGCGACAATGCGCGAATTTCCACCCCTTCTTTCACTTACATGGCAACTTGCCGTAATGTACCATCTTCAATCTTCATGGAGTGAGTAATATTCGACTCTCAAGAAACTGCAGGAATAATCTTGAGTTTTGGTTTTGCTCATCTTTTATTCGCGTGGCCTTGATGTAGCATGAAACTACTAGCATAGTACATTTGAAAATTAGGGTTCATGACATTCGCGTCAATGACTTTTTGAAGCTACCCAACTTGCGAATCACATTTGCTTTTGTTGCTAACATCTTATTAAGTCAGATTTATGGATTCTCTTGTATCGATACAAGACTGCGATATCGCAGTCTTTCTCACGTTCCACCAATTTCGAGGTATGATGGTTTTTCCATATTGGTTGGGCATCAAATACAGCTGGTGTTTGGATTTTAGAATATGCGGTGAGAGTTGGCATGCTCCCTTAATTTATTATACAAGGAGCCCAGCAGATGCGCTAATTTACTAATTCAAGAATCAAGAGTCTCATTAAACATTGATTTTTGTTCATTTTGTCAACCTACCTTTATATTTAAAGGTGATGGGTGATAAAAATTAAAAAAGGAAACGTTATTGTAATTAATTCATTGGTTCTTTTTGGATCGTTTTAGTTATTAATAACTTCAATATAATTAAAAAAAATGAATACACCATGTGAGATGTTGGGATTACCAGCCATTCTACTTCTCATATCATAAGATGTTTTTAATTAATTTACATCTCTCTAATAATATTTAAAATTATATATTATTTTTGTTTAACATGCTGTATTAATTAAAAAAATTATTAATTAGAACTTAATTAAAAATACTTTTAAAAAATGTATTAAGTATATATACCTCAAAAGACCAAAATGGCCATCCAAAAAATATTATGGTCTATCACGTGTAAAGATAATTTTTCAGATTTATAGAAGATGTAAATATATTTACCAACATACCAAAGGCGAAATATACTCGAAAAGTACATGTGATTGAGTCGCTGAATTTGTGCCTTGTAGAAACGGGGATGCTTGGAAAAGATCTTGAATTTTGAAACACGCATGTGTTTGACACAAGCGTATCGTGTAAAAGTGTTTGTTTGGTCAAGGGAAGAATGAGCCCCTAATAGTATTCTCCTCTGATGTAATCATTGAGTCGCCTCAGTTCTCCGCTTTGCTGCTCCATCACTGCTCTCACCACATCCACCATCGAAATCATTCCCACCACTTTCCCATCAATTACTGGCACATGCCTTATGTGATTCTCTGCAATCAAAGTCTCACATATTCTTTTCATCTCTTCCATCTTGTTTTACCTTAACTCCCACTAACAACGAACAAAAGAAATACCTGTCATAATTCGCATTGCTTGCAGAATGTTCATATCAGAGGTCACCGTCATTAGGTTTTTCTGTTCAACATAAATCATTAGGACGAAGGTCAGCGAAAATAGAAAGAAAGGAAAGAGGTGCATGGTGATTCCATTGTTCAAAGGGATTTCTATGAATGTCATGAAATAATAACCTCATCAGTCATGATTTCACCAACTTGTGTGTACACTGGAGATCTTCCTTTCGCAACTATTTTCCTCAAGCAGTCTATCATTTCATTTATGCCACCGCACACAAATTAATCACAATCTTTCAACTTCAGCACATTGAATCCAGGCTTTGTTTCAATGGTTTTTGAAAATTTTAAACAGAAATTACCTCTTTCTGTGACGATTCCTGCTATGTGACCCTCGGGCTTTAGCACCACCAGTGATCCAATATTGTTCGTAGCCATCTGAAGTCTTGCAGAAACATAGTCAAGATATATAGGTATCAAAGGAAAAGGATGGTATATATGATCAACAATTCCAACTATCTTACATTCTTCATTGCATTAATAACAGCATCATCAACTCGGCACCAGAGCCATGAACCCACTTTTTCTTCTCCCTTTGAAAGGAGAACGTCAGAAACTGTAACATTCTCCAACCCTTTCTGCTGCATTGGTGGGGACGCCGTCACACATCCAAAGCGTGAATATATGCTTTCCATGTTGATGATTCCATTCCCATGGAACTGTAATATTGCAGGCCTTGGAGGGTTTTGGCGCAACCTTACTCCCCGCCAAATTCCTAGCATCTTGTTTATTCTCCTATTACAAAATCAAAATAGATATCAACACATACACAGAAATAAAACAAGCGTAGGAGATGATAGCGTTGCTAGGGATACTTGGAAATTGGAAATAATCTCTACTGGGGGATAAGGCACGTTATGGAACTCGTCGACTCTTGGTATTTCAATTTCAATTCATCATAAAAGGTAAAGAGAATATCTCCCTGCTATTGTTTACTTTGTGAAGGTGTCTTCTCCCACAATTCTTTTCTTCGTAATGTGTATGAAGAAAGGCACTTTCTAATTGATGAAGTTAGCATATAAGCCTCCAGTCTCAGGCCCTTCATTCATACAAGACACCAACCAAAATAAATAACTAAATACTTAAATGACAGCATATTGTCATAGCTTTGAAACTTCTTTGTTCTCTTTATTAAGTCAGCCAAACCTTTAATATAGAGGTAAAAGAACGGAAAAACTTGAATATAAGAGAGAGAAGAAGACTTGAATGAGAGAACTTTAAAACTTAGAACTTTGTTTAAATTGTTTGTTTTGCTTATTAGTTACAAATAGGGATTGGGAGTATTTATAGACTTTTCCCTAACTTTCCCACCTTCTTAATGAACGATAAAAATTAATCCAATCTAACAATTTATAATGCTTTTTTAGAATATTTATAATAATTCCTAGGATAATATTCTAGTTAATTTACAAAGACTATTTTAAAACATCTTAAAATATCCTAAAATATTTAAATATCTTCACATTTTTTCATAAGTTTTTAAGACTTTCTAAAAATTTTTAAATTTATCTAGATATTTCTAAATTATTCCAGATGCTTCTAGAACATTTTAAAATATATTAAATTTTTCTTGAACATTTTGAATTCTCTTAAATTTCTTACATCATCCTGAATGTCTCCAAAAATACCTTGACTTTGTAGGTTCTCTTCTTTTTGAACATAGGCTGTGACAATATGCTAACTAGTTATTGGCTTATGCGATTCAATTCAACAATTAAGGCTCTGTCTTCTACTTGGTAATATGAATCGCAACACGTGGGTAAATTGCAAAAAGAACGCCAACCGAGAAAGCTTACCATGGGGCAAAGTATACGCTTGGAAATTCATTCTGTGAGAGGTAAACAAAATTTCCTTCCTCCTGCCTCACAAGATTAGAATAGTTTGCAGACATGTAATAAAAAAATTGGTCAAACGAAGAGCACAAGGACAACCTTTCAAAGGAATAAATGCCAAGGCTCCGGCCAAAGCAAAAACAATTCTGCACTTTGCAAAAATACGTAACTGGGAAGATTATTTTTGTCATACAAGGTTAGCTACGATATGCATGGAGAAATTAATAACTTGGTAAACTTGCCAATTAAACACCAAGCCTGACAGCCAGGCCAAAAAAACTTGTAACTACAGGTAAAGGCATTCATTGGCGTAAGAGTAGTATCCCAGATGCCCCCGGGGCCCTTGTCTTTTTCAAGAATATATTTGCATGTGCAGAAATGGAAGAGTAGCACAGCGTTATTCCACAGTGAAACAAGGGATATGATCACTCGCAAGCGGGTTTGGTGTCAAAGCTGCTCAAGCAGATTGCGAAGGCTTGAAATGCAGAGAGGGGATAACGTAATCCATGGTGAATATGTCCTTTCCAATTTTCCCAAATTGTAATATTACTCTATCGTGTTCTGCTGCTGAAGCATTTTGTCGAGGTTCTGCAGCTGCTACGAGCTGGAAATTCTTTACTGAGGCCACTGTAACACGTCCCTTAAAATTCAAGCACCAACACTGCAGTTGTTCATGCCACCTAGGAGCTTTATTTTTCAAAATCAGTGGCACCCTTGTGATGTGGTTTGATTCTGGAGGCTTGTCTTCGCTGTTGGAGCCATACTCAACTCCTGGCTTTCTTTCTTTCGAAACAGCCGTGGTAGATGAATGATCATCAAGGCATCTAGTAAACCTCAGAGGAGTAGGAGCAGTGCCCCCTTCTTGAATGGCAGAAACTGGAATAGAATGCATGGTACACCGCATTCTCCTGGGACCTCTTGTGCGGAGAACATTGAGTTCGTAACATACGGTGGCCACATTATACTTTGCAACAGCAGCCCTTGGAAGAACCTGCTCTGAATAGATTCTTTGCTGCAATTTACCATTCAACGGTAGGGAAGAATCAAGCGGGAGTTGACTATCCAAGATCATGAACTTGGTACCAAGAAAATTAGACCTGCTCATTGCTCACTGATCAATTTAACAATAGAAGAATGCAGCAACTAACAAGATAAGGACCTTGCAGAGGTGTGACTAACCTCAACTTTCCAACGTATGCACTGCTTGCTTTAGAAAAAATCGTCCGCAACCAAGGATATTATAAACTCTGTACATGTTGTCCGTCTAATCTTCTTTGCTGCCAATAGCAGTTTACTCATATCCCCAGAGAGAGCTACAAACTAACGAGAGTTATATATCCCAGTAACAACAATACATATCCAAGGAACGGGAGGAATTTTCGTCGTAAAGAAAAATGATATATGAGACATTGAAATAAAAGACCAGATTAATAAAGGTCAGGAAACAAAATCTGGTCTTCATGGCAGCTGCTGCTGTTACTTTAGACCGAGCAGCATGGTTCAACAGAGTACTTGACAGGAGAAACTTAAGGAAAAATAACTATTGTTTGAAGGAAAAAGTTTTGTCTCCCAACCAAGAATTATTATTGTCAAACCAAGGGATAAAAATTTAGAGTCTTCACCATAACAGGTTTTTATAATGAGTAAAACTGTATGCTCACTTAAACTAGATGATCGAAATAATTTGCTCAGGTTGGAGATTGCAAACGAAGTGACTATCCACAAGGATGATTCGACAATTTCAATACCAATGTTTAAACTTAAAAGAAAAAAAAAAAAGATTCAACTCTTGACAAGAGATATATGCAGAAACAGAACAACCAAATTACCTGGACTTGGACCAAGATATAAAAGATAGTTCGAAGTCACACTTTCTCTCTTTATAAAACACTGGATGGGAGTCTCTCTTGGACCAGGCTAGCAGGAAGAGAAGCGATCAGCATAGATTAATATGGGTGAATCACAATCAGTACTCCGTGCTCATGAATTTAACGTAGTATATAAATTACACGGGAGATATTACCTGCTTCAGCGATATGGGGAAGGTAAGCCAACCACACTGTTCTGGTGTCTTTACCACCTCCTCTGTTATCTTTCTCCATGACCTGCAAACTGAGGCACAAACAACAACCACCCGCCGGGCAGGCCAGGAAGATTCGCTTGCTTCCACCCTCTGAATTATGTCTAATAACAACTCAGATGGTAAGTTAGCCCAGGGGCTCTCCCGAGCCACTAACGAAGCTAGTGAGGACAATTCAGGGGCAATAAGAGATCTTCCACGGCAAGGGATACGATTTGCTTCTACCCCTCTTATAGATATATTGCCCATGCCATCTCGAACATCCCTTAGGTGGCGAACAAAATCTTTGAAAGGCATTATGATTGGACTGACACTGCAATTTAAGTTGGTGAAAGATAAAGAGAAGAATTTAGCAAGTTTAAAGAGATTTAGGACACATCTAGATAAGTACAGTGGATCTACCAGTGAAGCCGTGAATCACCAATGGATAATGGATAGTTATTAATTAACCAGTTGACATTGTTCAAATTGACATAAAGAACAATTCTGGAATATCGAGGTGGGGAAAGGAATTTCAAATTAGCCGAGAAAGAAGTCATGACATTATTAAAGGAAGTTGTCAGCGCTGACGACGAGAACATCAAGGAAGTGTTCTCAACTAGTAAACATCTACCAATAAAGATAAATCCTTTATCTATCTCGAATTAAAAGGCGACACTGTTATTCACAGGTGAGGAGGCCATGCATTTGGCCGGCAAACCAGTCTTTCTGGAGAAAATGAGGAGAGTGCTTCCAAAACTGAACCACTTTCCGAAGCCAATGTCTCGGCGAAAGCAAAAGGCTAAGATAAGAGCGAGGGACGAAGAGATAAAACTAGGAAATGGCGATCAAATCGTGAAGCCTTTGATAAATTACAGGGGAATGTGAGACCATCCTCGACGTCTCTGCAGCCATGCGCTGTGCCCGGAGACGGTCATCGACATTCAGGTTATAGATTGGGAGAGAAGGGTGGCGGTTGGGAATGGTCATACAGAGGAGACAAGCGAACATTTGGGTCTTTGGTATTTAGGCGGGGCCCACGCTGGACTCTACTTCGTTTCCGTCAATTCACCTCAGCCATTACACTATTACAGCACGCATGGTCAAACCGTCAAGCGCACCTTCAACGTCCTTGTCATCTTCTTCTGTTCACCCCCCAAATGACACTTTTTTTCGCCAGTAATTTTGTATTTTAATATCTATTTATCAGTTTTCGGTTGCTCCACAGCCAAAAAAAAAATTAATATAAAGGAATCAAATCAGATCAAATTAAATTCAGTTAAACATTGTGCACATATTGCAATCTTATTAGGATTTTAAAAGCAAAAATGTGAAGCAATTGAAATAGGTGCCATCTCGTTTACAACGTATCATTGACTTTTTCATTGTTGTTTCAGTACAGGTGTTCTGTTACTTGATACTTAATATATCGTTTTGTCAAAAATAAAACCACGTGGGTGCATCATCGATTAGATAATTCACAGCGATTAAATTAAAGATTTTATAGACTTGTCTTTGTGAATTTTATAGTTAAAACTCTGTGGAAATAAAAAATCAGTATAACCTAACTAAAAATGAATTTTTTTTTTTGGGCGGACCTGGATTATTAAGCGCGTTTCATGTATTTGGGCATTGGAAGATATGCAGTGGAAATTAAGAATGAGAAAAGTGACGATGATCCACCGCACTTAGTCGATCGTAATGAATGAAGCAATGTTGATGGTAGTCTTAATCTGTAACGCCCACTTGGATGGTGGAATCAATGTGCGGTACTGAATTTGATCTGAACAAAGAAAAACTAACAAAAGGAGTAGTGGGTAATGATGGATACATATATATCCGATACTGTGGATGATTCATTCACCCATTCACTGGGTGTGGGTTAAAGTCGAAGTTAAATACAGATATCAGAGTCAATTCGATCACCAACTCGCACAGCCATCTGTTGGGTTGGTAGGAGAGCAAAACTCACATTAACGGATCGGTCAAAACGTACTGGGAATTAGAAACACCACCAAATAATTTGCTAAACGCCATTCTGGCAATTGCGTGATTGAATGTGGATCGTTTGGTGGTAGGTACGGTAGTTGCTCAGGCCGCGACGTTCAGGATACAAAGTTAAGAGACAAGGGACGAGGTGAATCCCGTACGCAGTTGAAGCCATACATATATATCCGATACTGTGGATGATTCATTCACCCATTCACTGGGTTGGGTTAAAGTCGAAGTTAATCCAGATATCAGAGTCAATTCGATCACCAACTCGCACAGCCATCTGTTGGGTTGGTAGGAGAGCAAAACTCACATTAACGGATCGGTCAAAACGTACTGGGAATTAGAAACACCACCAAATAATTTGCTAAACGCCATTCTGGCAATTGCGTGATATGAATGTGGATCGTTTGGTGGTAGGTCGGTAGTTGCTCAGGCCGCGACGTTCAGGATACAAAGTTAAGAGACAAGGGACGAGGTGAATCCCGTACGCAGTTGAAGCCATTATTTCACTGATGATGATGATAATAAAGTAGTGGAGACAGCCCAGCGGCCCACTAAAATAGAAGGGAGCCAAGAGCACGATTTCAGGGACAGATGATGTAAGTCAGACATTTGGAATTTTATGAATGAATGAAGGAGCAAAGCCTGGAGTTGAGGCAGATGCATGGTGAGGAATGTTCTGGACACGTAGGCGCTGGGAGCATGCCCCCACTCTCATGAGTAGTAAATTAAAGTGTCAGTCACATAGCTTGCGATATCTGAATTATTGCAGCGGCTGAGTCTGCATCACCTAATTAGAGTCATGTGGATGATATAATTTGTGGGAGTGAGTGGGGTGGATGTCATGAAAAGGACAACAAGGACACAGACGGACGCCTGTGCCCTGCCCGCCATCATTGATCCCGTAGGTACTGTATTAGTTTATCCACATGTTAATGTTATTGTGGGTACGGCACGGGTTTCAACCCTGAGAAGGGGAGCTGGGCTGCGGTTTCGAGGTTGGGATGATTGATTACTTCTACAAGACAAGGGTCTGGGGCCAATGGGCCGTGTTTGATTTCCTCTTTGCAAGACCCGAATCCATGTTAAAGCCGAAGTAATTATGAACTTCCCCATGCGATTTTCGTCAATTCATGTTTGAGGCAAAACAAATTTTTTATCTAGACCCACGCTTGACTTTGAGTCGAAGCACTTATAATTTTATGTGTTCATTCTGCATTTAAGCTAAACCCACTTTTGTAAATTCTAATCCAAAAGTCCCCATTCATTCAAATAAAGTAGACTACGCACCGATTTTCATCTTTAAAACAAAGGACTGCGCACCGAAGATGAGGGTAAGGCGCAATTTTTATTTTTTACGGGAATTAATTAATTGACGGAAACAAACAAATAAATCAATCACACGGAGTAATTTTGTTTTGCACGGGTGTCAGTCCCGAGTTAAGTATGGTGGAATCTGAAGAATCCTCAATCTTAAACAATGATTAACTGGCCAAAAAAATCTTAAATAATAATGTAGTGTAATCCAACCCGTGGTCTAGGAACAGAGGGGTTATCCATTCCTCCTGGATCGATCCTCTTTTACTGGTTAGCCAACTGAACATTACAAGAGGACAAAATCTGGCATAAAAGGAACTAAATATTAGTTGCTTATTCGTAAAAAATGCATGAGCTGGTCCAGTGATCGCAAAATGGTGGTGGTGGTAATAATGACAGATGATAAAGACACAAAGAAAAGCATAGAAATCAAAAGCAAAGTTCGGTGGCGATATTTTCTTCAAGATAACATTATTCGGACGACGTGGATCCCATTTGGATTGAGACGTCGCCATTCAAAGCGGAAAGTTTTGTGCTGCTCCTGTTCTTTTGAGGTCGTTGCCGATAATGCAAGGACAGCAAAGTTATGATGGAGACGAATAAAGAAAAAGAAAAAATAATAACTTGAAACAAAATAAATATTTACACATATGCAAATAAATTAAATTATTGTTATTATTAGTATTATTCTGATAGTGGGCATGCAAATATATAACGCGAGTCTTTTGTTTGGTTTTGCTGGAATTAAAACAAGGTAGAAATGGTTGAAAAGGAGTTGAAAGTTGAAAAAAGAAGCGAAAGTGTCGGGGGGTTTGTTTTGTAAATCTGTGGGCAGGCTGAAGCAAAGCCTAGACCCTGGAATGTGCAGTTTATCCGATGCCCAAACTAATCGGATCTTCATCACAGTCGTTGGATCGCCCTTTTAAAGCGGGTCCCATCTCTTCCTGTTTTTTTCAGTCCCCAACCGCATTACATAAGTAGCAGTACTCCACGCTTAAGGGATAAGGATCAATACGCAGAGATCCGAAGCTGAGTATCTCATTAAAAACATCACCTCTTGGAGGATTCTTGTGTTAATCGACACGATCGAGCATTATACATGGGTTTCTCTTATGGCAGGATGGCACTCTCCCACCATCGATCCTGAATCAGGTACTCGTTAAGTGTTTACTCTTTGTTTTGTTCCAGTTCCGCTGGTCGTTGCACATAGTTTGATGTTTACTTGGGAGCCAAATCTCTCCAATTTCAGCCAAACTCAAGAGCCAAATCTCTCCAATTTCAGCCAAACTCAAGAGAAATCGCTCTCACCAAAGAAGAAATCGATGCTTACTGGAGATTAAAGAAGAAGATAGAAGAAGATCACCTCAGGGCTATTTCCGGTTTACCACAAGCCATTCAGGTTGGGGACGACCGCCAGACATGCACACACCGACCACTTTGATTTCTGAAAAAAACATATTAATTACTAATTGATAAAAGCCTGTGATACTGATGATGCGTGCAGGACAGCAAATCTGAGGAGTCCGAGAACAAGTTACAAAAGTCAACTAGCATGCCCTCGACCCGCACGAAAGAGTCCGTGGATGTGGATGCGGGAACGAGTCTGGAGCAGCTTATCAAGAAAAATGTCTGGTAATATATATATTTGAGTACAATTCAGCCTATTGTGTTTAATTAATTAAGTTGTTTTACTTTACATTCTAAATCGTACGTGGGTAATAAAATGGTTGAATGTGAGGGCAGGTGGACGAAGAGTAACTGGGCATTCCTGAATGAACCTCCGGTGACTGAGGCTGCTTCCAGCAAGTATGCGTCACAGTTCCACGTGGCCAACTTGGGAGCACCAAAGTTCAACCCCGGCGATGGCATTAGTGCTTGATACAGACTCTCGATAACAACTGTGTGTGCGTGTGCGTGTGTGCGCTCTTGTGTAATAACTGCGCGCGCGCGCGTTTGGTCTACTTTGTTCCAAATGACGGGCTTCTGTGTTAAATGGAACTGCTTTGAGTTGTTTTTGCTGGTTTAACGGGAAGGAAAGGCTGCTTTAATTTTTTCGACTCTGAAGAACCTCAGCATGTTAATGTAGCTGCAAAGTCTTTAGTTCAATATTTTTATATTTTAAACTTACAAAACTGTATCAACTCACTTATAAATTTAAAATTTAGATTAAATATAAATATAGTTAAACTTAAAAATTTATCTTTGAATTTATTTTTTTGACATTTCTAACTTATAAAATTATGCTAATTAATTATAAATTCAGACTAAATAAAAGTTTTTATGAACTTGTTAAGCTTGTT